TAATTTAAAGGATATTTGAAAACTGTGCTTTAAAATATCAGAGGCTTACAAAATAATATTATAGCAACACACCTTCTATATCTACTGTACAATTTCACTCACCCAAACGCAAGGCATGTACAACAGGTTTCACAAGTTAAATGTACCTGTTTTGTGAATCACTGGTGCTTTTGGTACATAGCCTATGTAGTGTGCTATGTAACCAATGTGCCAAAAGGGGCAATAGCTCTATAGTAATTATGCCCAGCTATATTTGAGTATCAAGAATATTTTTGCTCATACAATGTGCTTGGGTAATAGGAAGGCCATAGGATTACAGATATTTTGTAATTAACTGCTAATAAAGGAGGAAAAATAAACACCACTCCTCCTGGGAAAAATATAATGCTCATTTTCTTACAAATGTTTAAAAAGTCAGGAGGTATTTTTCTATGTGCTAGTTGATTGACATGGTCCTATAAGTTTGTAATTTGGTCCTTTTCTTGAAAAGCAAAAACAAGAAATTAAATTCTGTAGTTCCTTACACAGTCTGAACTTTGATAACTTTCATTGACTTTGCTTGACTGACATGATCTGGGAATTTACTCTTGCCTCTCAGCTGAAAAAGGGATGGCTGCATTAAAATTTGGAATAGATATCCCATGCAGAGCCCATAGGGCATGCTGGTTATTTAATAAATAATTCAAGACAAGCTTTGATCATTTCTCAAGGACTAGTTAGACACATACTATGCCTCACTCATGTTTAGGGAGGCAATATTTGTGTACAAGACATATCAAAAGTAGAGGTGATCTGCAAAGGTTCCCTTGATGAAGATCATTGTCAAGATTATTTATTAAATAAGTAAATCACCTAATCAGCTAGGCCTTCCATATCCCTTCTTGTATTTCTGAAGCAACCAAAGTTCAGTTCAAAATTCATTGTGAAAGAATTGGAAGCCTTGCCCAGTACATTTCCACCCTGATCCAGCAATAAAGGTCTACGCACATAAACAAGCAAGCATACTCATCTCCATCCACAGAATGGTCTCATAAGAGCACTGCTGAGCTAGGGAGATCCCAGACCATCATTTCTGATACCTGATTGCCCATCACCGTAGCTTGATCAGTGCCTTCTTCAAAAGTTGCATTCCCAGTGAACACAGACTTTGAAATTAATTCCACCGAACTCAGTGAAACTTACAAGTATGTCAAGGAACAAAAAAGAATGGTTGGATCAGAATCATTGTATGAAAGAGGATGGAAACCCTTCTGAAGTTTCCTGGTAAAAAGACCAGGTTAAGGCTGCAATCCTAAACATGTGTGTTAGAATGTAAGCACCATTGAATGGAGTGGGACTTACTTCTGAGTAAACATGCATAAGTTTGCACTCTACATATAAAAAATACATAAATCACCTATTTTTTCATCTGATCCATCTAAGATTGCTATATCAACATAGTGGTCCATAACAAACTGCAGCATTTAAACACACCTTTAATTCCTGTTTGTGCTTTGCTTAGAGGTTATAAATAAAGTTTACGGGATTATATTACTTTAACATAAGTCAGGTCATTTTTATTCATCCATATATGTTACAATAAAATCTTCCACTTCCACTTTAATATGGATTCTCTTTAAGGATTGTAATTTTTTTCTCTGTTTCTTATATGGTTGCATAAGAAAATATCGTACTGTATGTCTGTAAACATGATAAGAAAATAGTTGTGTGTATGTAAGTTACAGATATGTGAATTCAGTCTACACTGTAGTTCAATGCTGCTGCAGGAGAGGTACTAATACATAAAGTATGAATAAGTAGTTATATCAGTATTGGAGATATATTAAGAAGTAGAAATACATTTCATGTATTCCATAAATTACAGTTCAAATTAGGAAGAAGAAAGGAAGACTTCCGTTGTAATACTCATAAGGAAGTACGAAGAAACTTGCAAGAAGTAAGAAAATGGAATGTTGGAATCTTGAGTACTGACTGGAGGAGGAAAAAATAGCTGTAAGTTCACTTTGCAAATAAACTTTCAAGGCTGTAAAAATAGAATACTGTAGTACAAGTCAATACATAATCCATGGTATATACTACCTTAAATCCTGACCCTACTGATATTATTTAAGGATGTAATTTTCCTGTTCAAGCAGCTTTGAATTAACTGGTCTTTTTTTTCCCCCATTTAAAATGACAGAAAGCCAAACAGGCATAGGAGCTTCTAGCGTACATTGTGCTTCTTTCTGCAGCAATAATGGTTCTCAGTAACAAGTGAGATGTCCTATTAACATTGCAGGTTGAGTTGGTGAACAACTAGATTGGGTAACAGAAAAGCCTCATGGCATGAGATGAGGAGAATCTAAGACACGGCCACTGCCTTTTCCTATACTCTTCTAGGCATTCACAAAGAGAGAGAATGGTGGGATGGCATATTTGCAGCTCCTTTTTATGCTTTCTCTCTTTCACAGTATCCCTCCCACTGTTTCCAAGGAGAAAAATAAATAAATCACACCAGCTCCAAAGCTGGCATAGTTCTGACCTCACTCCAAGACGTGTGAAGAGAACAAAGGACCTTATGAACCCACAGCATCTTCAGAACATCTCCCCCTTTTTCCTTCTCTGACCTCAGAGCTCCATGATCACAGAAGCATGGGCTGTAGATTCTTCTCTAGCTTCACAAGAAGCTTACAAGATCAGGCATCCAAAATGCTAGTGCCCTGATGCAATTGTCAAAAAGAAGATTTGAATCAGAAGATCTTTGTCACCTGCTTCTTACAGTATTTGGCTGCAAGGAATGGACTAAAAAAATGTGTATGAACATAATTTGAGATAGCACTAGCACAAGCCCATTGGTTAAATGGCACAAAGCTCCAGCTGGTGTTAAAAGTTTATTGCCTTCCATAAAACTTCCAACAAATGGTACTCTTAATTATTTCATGTTACTAAATGTCTAGGTAGCGATCCCAAGTCCAAGATGTCCTGGCAAGAAGGAACTATACATGTGAGATTAGGTTGCGGAGATGATTACGGCTGATTTTATGTTCCGCTTATTATATGCTGCAGTCCAATGAGGGAGATAATAAATATGGGATGATAAGATATTTTCGGCTAGTGGGAGAAAATGCAATATGCAATTCATAATTAGGATGAATGTCAGTTTGACATGAGTTGTCCATTTAGATGAAAAAGTGCATGAGCTTTCTGTATGAACACTTGGCTTCTTTTCTATTTTACATCATTATTATGTTCCAGTGCGCAATATGCAATTCATAATTAGGATGAATGGCAGTTTGACATGAATTGTCCATTTAGATGAAAACGTGCATGAGCTTTCTGTATGAACACTTGACTTCTTTTCTATTTTCATCATTATTATGTTCCAGTGTCTTGGATTCACAATGGACAAGCATCCTATGAGATGGTTAAGAAGTGTAATCAGATATCCATAGTGGAAAGGCTTTTGAACAGTCAAGCTGACCAGCCAATATGGCAGAATTATACAGCAGAAGAATGAATCTGACAAATGCATGCAAACCATGAGCAGAATTGTTGTTCTCCTCTCCCTTGGTTTAGCTTTTAGAAAAAAGAATGTCATCAGATTTAAATTCCCTGAGTTATGGAACACAGCAAAAAGTTCCCCAAACCCCTGTAAAAGGCTTCTTTCTGTCTGCAATGGTTTAAAGAGTCATGTCCTCAGCTGGGCACATTATTTCCTATCTTCCTCTCCATTTTTCAGGTTGAGCATTTCTTTTTTTTTTCCAGTTTGAAGTACTGTGTGAAATCAATGGCTAGCTGTTTTAAATAAAATTAGTGCTTTTGAAACTGTTAACATAGAACTTGGCCAGCTTGTTAGCTTACTTCCTCTTTCTCATCCCAGCCAAGTATAAAATATCTGAGAGAAAGAGTACTTCACAAGTAATCAATCACCAGGATAACTCACATATAGCAAGTTAATATTAGTCAGTTCAAATTTGGGGTAGATGGGTTGAATTCTGACTTTCTCATGGCCATCCATAGAAAATTCTATGAAAGAAAGCAAAATAATCCATGGATATATTTCTTCTCCTGTAGATCCAGAGGCCATATTCCAGCCACAAGATCTTCTGGGGTACTGCATCAAACCCCCGCCCCAATGAAACCAGAAGATTTTTGGTGATCTACCACATATTTCAAAAGTGGCTCACACGTTTCAAAAGAGACCCACAGAGAGATCTGTGTGGCACAGAAATGGCCTTATGGCTGCACAGAAACTACAAGCTGCATGGTTCCCATCCCTAATATAATGAAAAGAGCTATCTCTCTTTTCTCTCTCTCTCAGACTCTCTCTCTCTCTCTCTTTATCTTCACACACTACCTGCTTTTTCTCTCTCTCTCAGACTCTCTCTCTCTTTATCTTCACACACTACATGCCTGAGAAATCCAGAAACAAGATGTCTCAGCACACTTCCCTTCTCCACTTCCTCTTCTTTCTACTGGGTCAATTATACAGCCATTTGCCTCAGCTAAGGATACAAGAATACACCGCCTTTTTCTCCTCATATATTTAAAATTTTGAAACTTCAAGTTCCATCTGTCCCAAATAATCTGTTTATCAATCAAAAATAAACTGCAATGAATTTTGCCCATTTACACTGTCCAAATTCAGCAGATACTGCTATTCCCTGCCAGGAAAAATGTCATGTTGTACCTGCTACAGATAAAAAGGAGAGGCCTCTTATTTTTTAAAAAAGCATGCCTAGCATTATTCAGACTTTTAAGCGCAAAGACAAGCATTCTAAACCCCTCTGTCTGGATGAACAAATTTACCAGTTTCACTTTGCTTCACATTCAAATAGTTTCCCCCTCCCAAATATAAAGAAATGTGTGGGGTGTTTCTTTCTTTGCAAATTAAAAAAAACCAAAAGGCAATGTAATCCTTATCAAACTCCATCTGGAGATCACTGAAATGAAATAAAAAGGGAGTGATGTATTTGGATAGGAGAACTATGCCCAATCCTGTAGCTGATTCCTGTAGTGGCCTGGCAAATTATTTGTGTGGATAAAACAGAGACATGGATTGAAGCCTATGGGGGTCCCTTCTCACCTGTCTGGGGAAAGACAACACCTTTTATGACTTTGCAGAAAAGATCTACCAGAAAAAGAAAGAAAAAGACCCTGTGTAAATTTGCAGATGTTTGCTGCAATAATTGGGATTCTTGTATGATGGGTTGTCTAGAAATTATTACAGTGAAGATAACACAGAAATTAAGAAAAAATGTAACATATTGCCATTTCAAATTCACATTATTGGCACGTCTAAGCCAACAAGTAATATGGCCTTTGACAATGCTCATTCTCTTATGATTTGAAGTTTGGTTTACCAGACCAAATGAGAGATATTGTGAGACAAGGTATCTAATACCTTAAATAGCTCATTGGAACCAGTATAGACATTCCTGCTAAATGTTGCATAATATTGCTAAGCATACTCATTTCTTAGAAAAAGGAATGTTAGGTAGGCTATTTGCTCTTGAACACATCATCCTTAAAGAATAGCACCTTATTTCCTCCCAAGTCTCAACAAATAGTTAGATGCTATATGCTGAGAACTGGGGTTGTTTTGCTGATCTAGCTGCACTGGAATGTCAGCAAGTTTATGATATACATTTCTGTGGTACATATCATGATACTGCTGGACTCAAAGCCCTGCCCAGTTTTTGTTTCTGTAGATGATCAGAATTGTACTAATTGTTGTTCAAAATCTATAGATATACTCAATTGGGCTAGCTGCAGTGTAGCTGCATTGATATGAGCAGTGCAATGATATGAGCAGGATACCTCCTGGTACGGGTTGTTAACTCTGAAACAACATGGGGCAAGTTTCTTAGTCCCAAATTAATCTTCTGGAAATAAGTTCTATACAAATCTATAAAACAGAGAGCCATGGGCACAATAAATTCAGTTCTGCAGGTTGTTAAGGAAATTAATTCTTTTTGGAAAGCAGTACTATACACATGCACATTGGTGCCTCTGAATACACGTGTGTACACAACACACAGTTCTAAACAAGTCACTGTTCTTGTACCTTTAAATCTAAACAGAGACTTATGGTTCATAGCAGTGGGGCACAAATCTCAGCACCAAGTGCTATGGCGTAAATTGATGGGTATGTGTATAAATCTGGAAAACATGAGGCCCCGAATTACAAAGCTCTGATTTACAGAGTCTGGATACATTTAGAACTAGCCTGAAGAACAGAAAAGCAAGAATGCCATGTACTAAGAATGGTCAAAGTTCATATAAAACATTCTGCAGTGATAATGGCCCAGAATCCTATCAGGAATTTACACCATTCTAAGGGTAATTGCATAAATCATGACTTGTCCATGACCAGGAATACGAGTGGCCACTTGTTAATTACTGGCAATTTGCAGTCACAATTTTCACAATTATACTTAGAACAAGATAAATCCCTGATAAGATCCTGCGGATCCTCATAGGAGTCTGCAATGGCTGCTGCATTCAGTCTACACCAAAGTGGCAGCTGGGGAGCTCAGCAGGAATAAAAGACAATGCAAATACTGCACGGTTTCCACAATACTTAATGCTTACAATTTAGCCTGAGTCCCTGAAGTGAGCCAACAATATTGTGGCTTTTTGTTCTTTCCTCTTTATAGCATCTACATTCTCTATGTCTTGAGTGAAGAGAGGAAGCCCAGAAAAAATGTATCTCTGAAACCAACAGAGTGTCTTCCAGCCACATCCATTCAAATGGTGACACAAGTGAGCCAGGTTGATATGAATTATTTGATTAAGATGCTAAAGGAATAATGACTTCATAAGACCGTTTCTAAGTTACAAGTATCAGCATCAAGTAAGCAGACTGTTTTTATGCAGATTGTTGTTAAGTTAAATGAAAAACAGTGGACAATCCTGTTGAATCTTCTTATCGCTTTTACCAAAAGACAAATTCCGGGCTTGTTCAAGATAGGTCTGGATTTGCTCCTGTCCTTATTTTTCATGTTTCCAAGGTTCTTCTTCGCCAGCATTGAAATCTGCAGATTTGCCATTGGTTGCCAAGGTTACCTGTAAGTAATTATCATCAATACCTAACTTTAAAAATCAAGGCACTTTGGCAGGATAACTCATGAATCAAACAATTAATTTGAATATTTACAAGATTTACATCAAATCCCTGTGTGTTTTTTAATATGTGTTGAATCACTTCTGCCCTTTCAAATTTTCTCATTGTATAAGAACTATTCAAAATTACAAGAGTAGATCCTCTGCAATGCATAAAGTGAAGATAGAAAACATGCACACACACGTATATATACACATATATGTAAACTACACACATGCTGAACTACACAAGGCTAAACACTAAATGGCAAAACTTATCCTCAAAAATGAACTGTTGTATTTTGATTATACATGTTAAAGGTGCAGTTATAGTCAAGTCAAACAATTCTTAACAAGCATGCCCTTTAAATACAAAAAACCCAGTCATTTATATCAGAATCTCTGTTAAAAAGTGCCTTTCAGCAATGACTTGATTAAAATCAGGGAAGACCAAGTATGGTTAATCATTCCATGGGAAATACTGGCTAGTAAGCAACATCTCAGCAGTCAATATATATCTATATTAAAAAAGACATCCAGCCATGCATAATCTTTTTGCTCCAGCGGAGATGCGCCAGGCATCACTAGATGGGCCAAAAATGGCTATGGTACTTGTTTGACTGGTCAGAAATGAACTGGACCTTTACATAGTAAGGGAACCTGTCATCTAATTCTAAATGGAATCTCATTACAGTATTTCCTAGCTTACCTTCCATGTTACTGTCCTCAGCTTCACATGCAAACTTAAAGACAGGACTGATATTCCACATGATGGACAAACTGGATGCATGGAAGCATTGAGACATGAAAACATGAAAAAATGCATCCATGTTTGAAACAAAGCCATCCTTTTCCACACATATTTGAAAGGGAGAGACATGCATTATAAAGAACAGCGGACATTACACATTTGTAGCTGGAATTGTAGGTTAGTTTAGTAACAAAGTTATGTGAAATATGATTAAAAATACAGAGAAAAACCCATGCAACAACAGTCAAAATAGCCTACTAATAAACTTGTATGTCTGTGAAAATTAGAAAGCCGTTTAGAGTACAAAAAAGTAGAAATTCCATATGGTTATATCAGTAATTAGAGGAAAGAAGTAACAACAAAAGCCACTGCTGACCAGAGCTTCAAGAACCTCTCTTTGGCAGTGAATTTTCACACTCACATTCAGAGTTGCTTACTATGTTTAAATTTACTGGGGGTAAATCAGCCAAATATAATTTATTTTATTTTTAAATTTAAATGTATATTTAACGCTTTCATTCAAATATTTGAAACTTAGAAGTTAATACATTTTGTAACAAATCATGGATTTTTTCCTTTGTTTTTATGGTCATATCTAACCATGATGAGGGAACCGTTTAATATATGCCTAATTCATATATTAAACATCATGTTTAATTCTTATCTAAAATGAGATCTGAGGCATTGTGCTCCAGCAATGATATATATCTTTCAAACTATTTCATGTATATTTAGTCATAACCCTTTCAGTTCTAACATTCACTCCTGTTGCTTCTCAACACAGCTTGCAGAAGCTATTATTTTGGACCATAATTCCTGGAACTCCATGATTCTGAAATTATAGTCCATCCAAAAATATTTTTTCCAGACTCTGCTCCCCATTGGGCAAATCCCCATGTTAATTCTGCTCATCTCCTTATTTGGCACTGTCATGATTAAAAGATTGGACACATTCACTTCCACCGTTTTTTGCTACATCTAAACCCTAAACTGTGGTCAATCTTAACTCCCATTTGTTGTAATAAGACAATGTTGATATCCATAATTTTAACTTGTTGGTTCAATTTGGCTAGCAGAATTAAGGTGGAAGCCAGTATTGACCAGGAGCTGCAGCAACAGCTAGAACTGTCCCACTTTCTGAGGTTGGAAGAAAACCACAGCTTCCCTTCCTACATTTCCTGGAATCGGGGAGTGGGGGGGTTTGTGGCTGCACCAAGCAGCAAGTGCTGCTCTCCATAGATTGGCCCAGGCCCATAGGCCTACTTCTGTAAGATGTCTCCTCAGAGGCAGTTGTTTAGGCCTAGCAGCTCTAAAGCACAAAGCAGGGTGGAGGAGCATGAACAGTTTGCCTTCTGACCCCTGCTGGCGATCCCTGATAGTTGGTTTGATTCATACATTACAAGCTTTCATAAACAGGAGCAAATACTTCTGAATGTCTTCTAGTGGCCTCAGTAGAGGAAAGGAGAAATGGGAGGGCAGAGCTTCATTTGTGGCAGAGCCATCATTAAGGAGCCAATTCTGATATGCAAAGCACCCAGGATACTTCCTCATTCATCCAGTGGAGCTTTCTGAAATTCACTGCACTCTCGGTCAGACCAATTTGCTGTTATTGTCCTTCCTTAAATCATGCTATTTTTTTACAGGCTGGAGTAAGTAGGCAGAAACTGTAAAGTTGGTATAGCCATAATGACCCAAAATGACAATGAAAACAAAGCATAGACATGCTGGATCAGCTCACAGGTATTGAGAAAGTATGTACAACATATGTGTCTTTACAGTGTATCATGGAAAGCNGAGAGAGAGAGAGAGAGAGAGTCCTTCCCACCTTTTTTTGTGTGCATTCCTTTCTCTTATGAAGCCATATAAAAACAAGACAGTGCCCATATTTTTATCTCCCATTTTCTTACAGTACAACGCAACTACTTGGAAGTATTTCCCATGCGTTGCAGTGGGAATGAATCTTGCTGAAATATGAACACAAGATTTCAGCTCTTTTTTTTAAAAAAAAAAGCTCTGGAAATCTGAATCTGTTAGAAAAGATTCCTTCATTAGCCCATTGGTAGATGATAGATGCCATGCCCAGTGCAGCGTATGGGTGATGGGGTATGCAAGAAGGTGATTTGGATGTGATCGCATCTGTTGCCACAAAACGTGCAACTTCAAAGTGTGGGCTCAAGAGGCTCAAATCATAGCTCCTTTTGTCACGGACAACTAGATAAATAACAGAAACGGATATAATGCTACAGTCTTCCTGCATCATATTGCCTTCCATAACACATTGCAGAACACAATGTTATTTGTAAACATTGCATGCAATTGCCATTTAAAAAAATACTGGGGTGAAAACCAGTGCAAATAAAATATGAATCTGCATCTTTAAACAGATTAACATGTTAATATCTGTCATTGGTGTTATCACCTTGTCATTAGTGATAAATGTTAGAAGTACATGCAGGTATAAAAAAAAAGCAAAGGAAGATGAATGATGAGGCTAGATGCAAGTCTCAATATCCATAAATGTGAAAGGTACCTTGCACTCATCTATTATGACAGAGTTATGAGCTGTATAAACACACTGGTTTGAGTTATTTTCCCTGTGGTTTTTCAGGTCATCATAAATTGACTGAGTCTTGGTCATTTCAATATCTTCATGCCCTTTGTGATGGGAATCAATGTTATCCAACTCTGCCTTGGAGAGATGGTACACAATGCCGGCTCCATATGAATCACCCACAACATTGACAGACGTTCTCATTCGGTCTCTGCAAGGGAAACAGAAAGAAGCAAATGGATGGTCTGATGCAGAGAATGATCATTTGATGATGGAGGAAGATGACATATGATTCTATTATCATCCAAACATTGAGATCTGCTAGAGAGAGTCTTGGGGTTATACCACCAGCCAATTAATTAAGACTTATTTCCCAGAGCCATCTCAGTAGTGGTGCCCCAGCTATAGAATATCCTGTCTTTGGTTGTTACATTGGCATTAATATTGATCAGGTTTTGGCACCAGGTGGAAACAATCCATTTCCAATAAGCCTTTGGATTGCATACTTGGTAGCAGCCATTGGCTCCCAACCTTAGGTCCCCAGATGTTCCTGGACTACAACCTCCAGAAATCTTGACCAACATAGTTAGTATGTTCCTGGACTACAACCTCCAGAAATCCTACCAACATAGTTAGTAGTGAAGGCTTCTGGGAGTTTTAGTTCAAGAACAACTGGGTATCTAAGGTTGGGAACCAGTACATTAGAGCAAATTATACAACAAAAGCAAAACCATCATCATCTTGTTTTGTGCTATACATGCTGAAACAGACAAGCATAGTGATCTTTTTGGAAATCAATAGGTTACATACATGGAATCTTTGCTAACTGACTATATTTTGACCATTTTTATATTAGTTGTGTTTGCACTCATAACAAAGGCATAGCAACTAAAGTATTGAAAAGCAAAAGGGTACATGCAGCTAGAGGAATTTTATTCTAAGAGTAGTCTCAGACCATGTGCTGAATCTTCTGAACATGGCCTGTTGAACAACTTTCACTGAGATTGATGATTATGTGGTTTCAAAGAATCAGATCTGGTTTGCAACAACAGTGGTGAGTAGCTTTCAATTTTGCATGCAGTTTTATTCCAGACTTTTCCTTTTAGGAAGAGAAAGCATCTCTGTTTCTGTGGAAAGGGACATGTTGGAGTAGAGAAAGAAGCAACTTGAGAATAAGGGAGAACAGTATTTAGAATGTTTCAGATATCCTTTTTTGCTTACAAAACTTGATGTCTTGTTTGTTTGTGTGTGTGCTGCTGCCGCCTGTACAAGCGACCGAGGCGAAGGCAGCAGAACCCACTGGGGAGCTCGGCTTCACTTCCTGCTTCAGGAAGCAGAAAAGCTTGGGTCTCCTGAGTTCAAATCTGATACCCTATTATCCACTTAATTAATAAAGCAGCCAGAAAGGGCTCAGAACTCAGTAAAGTCAAATGGAGCTTGATTAGGGAAGTAGCCCGTTTGATTTTAGATTTTTTTCTCCTGATAATTGTAGTTTTTTGTAATTTTTAATTTTTATAACATGTACATACATACAAAATAAACAAAAACATATAAGACAATCAAAAACATATACAACAAGCAAAACATATAGGTGGGGAGGTATTTCCCATTCAAGCTTATCCTTATATAATTCTGACTACAACAGATCTTATGCCATAGTCCCATACGAAATCATAATGTATCCATATATATCTACACATATTGCATTTCGTATCACTATTTCAAATATTTAATTCAATATCTAGCCTCCTAAATTTATGATAATTTTTATAAATTCTTTCACCTGCATTTCCATCTATCCAATTATCATCATAAAGATTTCTGATTTCATCATTAAGATTACTTGTCCATCAATAAGATCCAAACATGGCCAATACAATCATCAAAAATCACCTTTTCTCTTTAGAGAAAGATATTATATGTCTAATCTTATCTACATAGTCACTATTATAAATTCACACATATTTGATATCTCTATATATGTGCCTTAGAAGCAATAGCATCTAAATATTATATTCATCATAAACATTTCTAAGTTCATAAGTAAATGTGCTTGTCTACCAATACAATCCAAACATGGCCAAAACTGCTTATAGATATGTTACGCATATTAATTTGTATATAGAAATATCTCTCTCACACTAATGATTACTATTGTTGTGTTCAGCAAGTAACTTTCTCCCATTTTATTTGTGCTTATCAGCTCCGGTGTCATATATCCAAAATTTGCCTCTTGCCTCCTTTTTACCAGTTTTAAAATGCCATCTATAAAATCTCTTTAAACTATTTTCTCTCCGGTTTACTAATTTTATCCTAATAAAGTTAATGTCCTGTTTTCGAAGTAATGCATACCTATCTGCTCTGTGGTCATGAATTTCTGCCCCCAGCTTCCTCATCCCCCAACCCCCGCTTTCCTCCCTTTTCATTCCATCCAGCTTTCTGATGAGAACAGTCTCTCTCTTTGGTGATGCCGTGATGCATTCAGTGGTTTGTCCAGTCGATTTGTCTTTCCTCTCCATCTTAACATACGATCCAAGAAGTGTCACCTTAATATCTGCCTTAGCTTCTGAGATCTGGGCCTTGATTTGACTAATAATGTTCAATTGAATTTCCTGAATACAAATCTTGAAGTAAACCTCCATTGTGGGTTTAAATAGTAAGGCTCAGTCTATCTCCTTCTTTCCCGGTCATAGCCATAAAAGTCAAGCAATTTAATTATTCAGATTCCTCTCATCATTTATTAGCCAGCCCAAACTCTGACTCCTGTGAAGACCACTCCAATCGTAAATCCAGCCGTAATAAAGATGTTGTTTAGTTTGTAATCCACCTTTGTAGCTCAATGCAGAGTCATTTAGGATTAAATTGATCAGAGTTAGTTAAAGTTCTCAAGCCTCTAATTTATAAAAAATCTGATTTTCCTATTCATCGGGGTAGGGGGGTTGAGAGAGAGCAGTCAAGAATTAGTTTCATTTTCCATTCTTCTCAGCCGTGACACAGTAAAAAAATTCCAGCATTTCAGGGTTACCAAAGTTCTTGCCACCTTAAGATCTTTCTCCTTAATATCAGCCTCCAAGAGAAAAGTCTGATCTATTACTTGCTGTAGCTAAATAGCAGATTCATTTAATCTCTGTTCTGTCAGATCTTAAATCTTCATTTTATCATTTTTGTAAGCTGCCCCGAGCAGACTTTGTCTAGAGGGGTGGGGTATAAGTCTAAATAAAGTAAAGTAAAGTTCATACCTCCCCTCTCTCCGGGCAGCTACTCACCATCATCATGGCGACTTCATGAGATAGTTGCGTGTAGTAAGGAAAACCCGTTCTGAAAGCCAGATTGCCATCTGAAATTTGGCGTTTCCAAGCCCCACTTGCTGCAAGTCCACTCTTCTGTAGAAAACTTGTCCCCCTTCTCCTGGGGGGTCTGCTGACTCAGAGTAAAACCCAGGGGATCCCAGAGCCCTGGGAATTCCCGTTCTAACTGCCTTTTACTCCGCCCCTCTGAGGGTCTGATTTTACGTAGATTTAAGAGACTTGGTCAGGCAGGGCTAACCACTGTATTTTCTTCAAACTGAGGAAAGGTCCTAGAAGGAGCCAAGAAGGTTTTTGAATGTGTGAATAAAAGCAAACAGCCTTTCTAGAAGGTCCTGCCATTTTAGTGAACAGTTAGATTGTCAACCATGGACGTGGTGTCGCTGCAAGTTAAACCGCAGAAGCCTCTGTGCTGTGAGGCCAGAAGACCAGCAGTCGTAAGATCGAATCCACATGACGGAGTGAGCTCCTGTCGCTTGTCCCCACTCCTGCCAACCTAGTAGTTCGAAAGCATGTAAAATGTGAGTAGATAAATAGGTACCACCACGGTGGGAAGGTAATGCCATTCCATGTCTAGTCGCACTGGCCACGTGCCCATGGAAACTGTCTTTGGACAAACGATGGCTCTATGGCTTGGAAACGGGGATGAGCACCATGCCCTAGGCTGGACTAAATGTCACGAGGAACCTTTACCTTTTACCTTACCTTAGATTATCAAAGTCCTGTGTGGAGTTGATGTGGATATGCAGAATCAGCAAGCCTGTTATTAAAATATCTACTGTGCCATTGACAAAACAACCACCAAACATGATCCCTTATTGATAGCTTTAAAAATGAACTACAATTTCAATTCTAAATTCTGTTCCATGAACATTTAATGCTCAGGTCAGAGGAAAAGTCGTGTAAAGGAATCCTCTGACTATTAAATAGCATTAACTCTAGTTTACATATTATGCTACCAACAATGTAAAATAATATTATTTACCACTTAGTAATAGAAGATTTATTATACCATATAACCTTTGGTTACTCCTGCTTTCAGTCACATTACCAAGCTCTCCTCTTCAGTGAGGAAGTTAATTGCAGAGCATTTTCGAAGCACTGTGGAACCAGGATGAACCACACTTGACCTTAGTGGGTAGTTTTCCTTAATCCATATAACAATGGGAACGTATTAAGAACAGGACACTTACCATGACGTTGAAATGAGTATCATCAGATTCAGCCTGATCCCTTAGGCTCCGCTCACTACTGTCCCAGTTTTGACAGGAGTGAGGACACCTTTATTTCTCAGTGGGCCAATCTGCTCTTCACCATGGATGCCTCCATCTTTGGATGAAATTTCCCCCTATGTCTATCACCCACTTTTCTCCATCCCACAATATATTTTTGTTTTGTTTACAAGTTTACAACAGAATGGAGGAATTCCTCCTGCTGTTGCCACAACATGGAAGAAGAAAAACTGCCACAGAAACTCATTTTGATGATTTCTATAAAATGTAAAGTTCCACAAAAACATCTGCTTCTGCTTCATTGACTATGAAAAAGCTTTTGACTGTGGGGACCACAACAAACTATGGCAAGTTCTTAAAGAAATGGGAGTACCTGACCAGCTTATCTATCTCTTGACGAATCTAGATGTGGGACAGGAAGCAAGACTTAGAACAAGATATGGAACAACTAATTGGTTCAAAACTGTGAAAGGAATATGACAAGGCTGTATATTGTCTCCCTGCTTATTTAAGTTATATGCAGAATACATTATGTGAAAGGCAGGACTGGATGAATCCCAAACCTGAATTAAGATTGCCGGAAGAAAAATTAACAACCTCCGATATGCAGATGATACCACTCTGATGGCAGAAAGTGAGGAGGAATTAAAGAACGTCTTAATAAGGGTGAAAGA